TGGGGGGGGGAGGATGGGGGCTGTTGGATCCCTGACGGGATCCCAGGCACTTGTGGGGTGATGGGGGCTGTTGGACACCTCAGAGGGTGCAGGATGGCTGTTGCACCCCATGGTGTGGGGTGATGGTGGTTGTTGGGTACCTGATGGGACCCAGACTGGTGTTGCACCCCATTGTGTGGGGTGATGGGGGTTGTTGGGCACCTGATGGGACTCAGGGTGGTCGTGGGGCGAGGGGGGCTGTTGGACACCTCAGAGGGTCCAAGGTGGCTGTTGTACCTCATGGGTGATGGGTGCTGATGGGTGGCTGGTGGAGGTTGTGGGGGGCGTTGCACCCCATGGTGTGGCGTGTTGAGTGCCTGGCAGAATCCAGGACGGTTGTTGCACCCTGTGGCGTGGGGTGATGGAGGTTGTTGGGTGCTTGACAGGATCCCAGGCAGTTGTGGGGTGAGGGGGACTGTTGGACACCGCAGAGGGTCCAGGACGGTTGTTGCACCCCATGGTGTGGGCTTTGGGTGCTCTTGGGTGCCTGATGGGACACAGGTTGGTTGTTGCACCCTATGGTGTGGGCTGTTAGGTGCCTGGTAGGACCCAGAGCGGTTGTTGCACCCCATGATGGGTGCTGTTGGACGCCTCACGGGACCCCGAGCGGTTGTTGCACCCCATGGTCTGGGCTTTGGGTGCTCTTGGACACTTCCCAGTACCCAGGGTGGTTAGTGCACCCCATGGTGTGGGGTGATGGGTGCTGTTGGGTTCATGACAGGGTCCGGGATGGTTGTTGCGCCCTGTGGTGTGCGGTGATGGGGCCTGTTGGGTGCCTGGCATGATCCAGGATGGTTGTTGCACCCCATAGTCTGGGGTTTGGGTGCTCTTGGACACCTCACAGGACCCAGGGTGGTTGTTGCACCCCATGGTGTTGGGTGATGCGGGCTGTTGGGTGCCTGACAGGATCCCAGGCAGTTGTGGGGTGAGGGGCGCTGGTGGACACTTCAGAGGGTCCAGAATGGTTGTTGGACCCCATGTTCTGGGGTGCTGTTGGGTGCCTGATGGGTCCCAGAGTGGTTGTTGCACCCCGTGGTGTGATGGGTGCTGTTGGGTGCCTGACAGGAACCGGAGTGGTTGTTGCACCCCGTGGTGTGGGGTGACGGGTGCTGTTGGGTGCCTGACGGGACTCGGAGCGGTTGTTGCACCCCACGGCGGTGGGATTTTGGTGCCGATGGTCCCAGGGGTCACCGATGTCCCCGCAAAACCCCCTCCAGGACGGACCCCAAGTCCCCAGGAACCACCGACATCCCGGCGCTGCTGTACCCCGGGCCCGAAGGGACACTTCCATTGTGTTTGCGTTTTATTGTCTTTTATTGTAGTTTCTCTTATTTCTGAAAGCGCCATTTCTCAGTGTTGGCAGTTTGGCTGTGCCTTCGCCCAAAATTTTGGGGCCGCCGGTGGTTTTGGGGCAGGTTTGCACCCTCCGAACTCGCTCCGGTCGGGTGTGTGTCACCGCTTCGCCTGAGAATTCCTCCCTCGGGGGCCTGTGTGGGCATTAAAAAATGTGAGAAATGGAGAAAAAAGAGGATTTAGGGGGGAAAATGCCCATTTTCCTCAGCGGGGAGCCCCGGCCGGTCCCCAACACCCGCGTTTGCCGCCGCGGGGACGGTTTGGGGTTTCAAACACCTTTTTTTTTGGTGGTTTTCCCTGAGGTTGGGACTTAACGTTCACCATTTCTGTGCAAAATGATAGTTGTGTTTTGGGTTTTTTTTTCCCCTTCTGAATATGATTTTTTTTCTTTGCTTTTGTTGGTTCGGCCTCAAAATGAGGGGGGGGATGGGACGGGACGAAAAAAGGCGTCTCATAGCCCAAAACGGCCGCTTTGATTGAAAAAGCAGTTCTGATTTTTAAAGTGAATCCAACTCACTATGAAAAAGCTCAGGAATTGGGCAAATTTGGATTTTTGGAACCCCTTCTGTTCTGGAAAAGCTTAGAAATGAGTAGATTTGGGTTGTAGACACACCCACCCCCCCCTTTTTTCCCCAAATTGCTCAGAAATGGGTAAATGTGGATTTTTGGAGCTCCCCAAAATGCTCAGAAATTGGGCAAATTCAGATTTGAGAGCTCCCTCTTTTCTGAAAAAGCTCAAAAATCGATAAATTTGGATTTTAGACACCCCCCCCCCACTTCTTTTTCCCCCCAAACGCTCAGAAATGGCTAAATTTGAATTTTAGAACCCCCTCTTTGCCGGAAAAGCTCAGAAATGGGTAAAATTGGATTTTAGCCCCCGTTTCCTCCCCCCTCCAACCAGTCAGGAACGGGCAAATCCATCTTTCCAGCACTGCCGCCGCCGCTTCCCTGGCCGTTTCCTTTGGCTTTTTCTTGGCTTTTTGGGCAATTCTTTAATTATTTTTTCCTCTCCGCAGCCCCGATCCCTCAAATGCTCCACGTGGGGCCGCAGGGACGCCCCCGCATCAGCCCTTAATTCACTTTTTACAACTTTTTTCTCCCCAAAACAGCACTAATACCCATTTTTTAAACTTTTTTCTCCCCCAAACAGCACTCGTATCTATTTTTTAAAACTTTTTTCTCCCCAGAACAGCCCTAATACCTCTTTTTTTTTTTTTTTCTACCCCTAGCTACTGATAATAGCTATTCTTTTTAACCTTTTTCTTCCCAGAGCAGCATTTTTACACGTTTTTAACATTTTTCCCCAGATCAGGAGCTGCGGGAGGGTCTGTCTGTCCGTCCCCCTCTGGACAGCGAGCCGAGCGCTCGGGGCTCCCCGCATTTGAGGTGAAATAACACTTTTTCCCCATTTCCCCGGCAGAAGGCTGACCCCCTCCCCCTCCTCCGCAGCTGAAACTTGTTATTTTGTTGAGGCTTTTTTTTTTTTTTTCCTTTTTTCCCTTTTTTTTCTCTTTCCACCCCGCCCCGCCTGCGAAACAT